GGGCGAGTCAGGGCCTTTGTATTACTTTACTAAAATATTCTCTTATTTCTTATAGCCTCAAGTTTGAAATAACTCTAAAATTAATCTCAAAATTTATTTTTGCAGACAGCAGAATTACGGCTGCAGATAAATTCACAACCTCAGTGGATTCCCAATTTTGATAATGTGAGCATTACGGAGATTCCATAGTGCCCAAACTAATTCTGGGAACAAAGGGAACTTTAAAAAAAAATAATCTATAATGTATTAATTGTTTCCGGGGTACAGGTCTGTGATTCATCAGTCTTACACAATTCACAGCACTCACCATAGCACATACCCTCCCCAATGTCCATCACCCAACCACCCCATCCCTCCCACCCCCCTCCCCTCCGGCAACCCTCAGTTTGTTCCTGAGATTAGAAGTCTCTTATGGTTTGTCTCTCTCTCTGGTTTCATCTTGTTTCATTTTTCCCTCCCTTCCCCTATGACACTCTGTCTTCTTGTTTCTCAAATTCCTCACATTAGTGAGATCATATGATAATTGTCTTTTTCTGATTGACTTATTTCACTTAGCATAATACACTCCAGTTCCATCCACATCATTGCAAATGACAAGTTTGTTTTTTTTGATGGCTGCATAGTATTCCATTGTGTGTGTGTGTGTGTGTGTGTGTGTGCGTGTGTGTGTGTATCAGATCTTCTTTATCCATTCATCTGTTTATTCTTTTTTTTTTAATTTTTTCAGTGTTCCAAGATTCATTATTTATGGACCACATCCAGTACTCCATACAATACATGCCCTCCTTAATACCCACCACCAGGCTCATCCATCCTCCAACCCTTCCCCTCCAAAACCCTCAGTTTGTTTCTCTGAGTCCACAGTCTCTCATGTTTCATCTCCCCCTCCGGTTTTCCCCAATTCACTTTTCCTTTCCTTCTCCTAATGTATTCCATGTTATTCCTTATGCTCCACAAGTAACTGAAACCGTATGATAATTGACGTTCTCTGCTTGACTTACTTCACTCAGCATAATCTCCTCTAGTCCCGTCCCTATTGACACAAAGGTTACTATTCATCCTTCCTGATGGTTGAGTAATATTCCGTTGTATATATGGACCATATCTTCTTTATCCATTCATCTGTTGTTGGATATCTAGGCTCTTTCCATGGTTTGGCTATTATGGACATTGCTGCTATAAACATTTGGGTGCACATGCCCCTTCTGATCACTACATTTATATCTTTAGGGTAAATACCTAGTAGTGTAATTGTTTGGTTGTAGGATAGCTCTATTTTCAACTTTTTGAGGAATCTCCATACTGGGAACAAAGGGAATTCTTTTTTTTTTAAAGATTTTATTTTTATTTATTTGACAGACAGAGATCACAAGTAGGCAGAGAGGCAGGCAGAGAGAGAGAGAGAGGAGGAAGCATGTTCCCCACCGAGCAGAGAGCCCGATGCGGGGCTCAATCCCAGGACCCTAAGATCATGACCCGAGCTGGAGGCAGAGGCTTAACCCACTGAGCCACCCAGGTGCCCCAACAAAGGGAATTCTTAAACATACTTTTAATTTGTTTTTTCAAAAAGATTAAACCAGAATAGTTGGGGAAAAAGGGAATCTTCAGAGAATAAAGAAGAACTTTAAGAGATTAAAATTATGGAGAGGATGTGGAGAAAGGGGAACCCTCTTACACTGTTGGTGGGAATGTAAGTTGGTGCAGCCATTTTGGAAAACAGTGTGGAGATTCCTCAAAAAATTAAAAATAAAGCTACCCTATGATCCTGCAATTGCACTACTGGGTATTTACCCCTAAGATACAGATGTAGTGAAAGGAAGGGCCATATGGACTCCAGTGTTCATAGGAGCAATGGCCACAGTCATCAAATTGTGGAAAGAGCCAAGATGCCCCTCAACAGATGAATGGATAAAGAAGATGTGGTCCATATATACAATGAAATATTATGTCTCCATCAGAAAGGATGAATACCCAGCTTTTGTATCAACATGGATGGGACTGGAGGAGATTATGCTGAGTGAAATAAGTCAAACAGAGAAAGTCAATTATCATATAGTTTCAGTTATTTGTGGAGCATAAGGAACAACATGGAAGACATTAGGGAGAAGGAAAGGAAAAGTGAATTGGGGGAAACCGGAGTGGGAGACGAAACATGAGAAACTGTGGACTCAGAGAAACAAACTGAGGGTTTTGAAGGGGAGGTAGGTGGGGGGATGGATGAGCCTGGTGGTGGGTATTAAGGAGGGCATGTATTGCATGGAGCACTGGGTGTGGTGCATAAACAATGAATCTTGGAACACTGAAAAAATGAAATAAAATAAAATATGAAAAAAAGAAATTAAAATTATGGCAGCCAACATAAAAATTCAATAGAAGGATAAGATATAAAGTGATGATAATCTGCAAGAAAGGAGACCAAAAACATAGTTTAAGGAATTTGGGAAAGAAAGAAACAAACAACAAAAAAACCAAGCAGAAATCAGGCTATTGTTCAAAGAAATAATATTAAACAATTACCTAGAGCTGAAAGACATGAGTTTCTATAGTAAGCCTACTGAATAGATCATAGTGAAAATCTGGAAAATGTAGAATATAAAGAAATTATTTGTGAATGATGTGAAATAGTGATCTAATAACTTAATCCTGTAGCCAATTGTCCAAACAGCTTACTTTCCCCATTGACTTGAAATACTAACACATATGAATGTCCACACATGCCTGAGTCTGCTTCTGAGCTGTTTTGTCTCTTGGATCTATTTGTCTGTTTGTGACAATAACACACAAATACCCTTAATTTCTAGCCATAACTCATTCCTCAGTGTTCCCAGAATGTGTATTTCCCCTATGTTTGTGTTCTTCTTACACTATACCCGCACATGCAACATTTCCTAGAACAATTCTCCATGGCTTGATATTCATCCTTCAAGACTCACTTTCTTTTTTTTTTTTTTTTAAATAGGCTTTATTTTTAAGAACATTTTTGGATGTATAGAGAAATGCAGCAGATAGCACAGAGAGTTCCATATACCTCCTACACACACATGCACAGAGTTTCCCTCATTCTCAATATCTTACATTAATATGGCACATTTGACAGTGAGCCAATATTAATACATTATTCTTTTTTAAAATTTTACATAAAAATTATATTTGTTTATGTTAGTCACCATACAGTACATCATTTTTTTTTAAGATTTTAAAGTTTTTTTTTGACAGACAGAGATCACAAGTTGGCAGAGAGGCAGGCAGAGAAAGAAGGGGAAGCAGACTCCCTGCTGAGCAGAGAGCTGGATGTGGGGCTCGATCCCAGGACCCTGAGATCATGACCTGAGCCAAAGGCAGAGGCTTTAACCCACTGAGCCACCCAGGCGCCCCACATCATTAGTTTTTGATGTAGTGTTCCATGATTCATTGTTTGTGTACAACACCCAGTGCTCCATGCAAATACCTGCCCTCCTTAATACTCACCACCAGGCTCACCCATCCCCCAGTTCCTTCCCCTCTAAAACCTTCAGTTTGTTTCTCAGAGTCCATAATCTCTCATAGTTGGGCTACCCCTTCCATTTCCCCCCTTCAGTTTCCCTTTCCTTCTCCTAATGTCCTCCATGCTATTCCTTATGTTCCACAAGTAAGTGAAACCATGTATTGACTTTCTCTGCTTGACATATTTCACTCAGCATCATCTCCTCCAGTCCCCTCCATGTTGATGCAAAAACTGGGTATTCATCCTTTCTGATGGCTGAGTAATACTCCATTGAATCACAGCTTCTTTATCCATTTGCTTCAAGAACCACTTTCAACCACACCAAATTTCTTGATTTCTCCTCCATATCTCCTTAATAGTTTTTTTAAAAAATTCTGTTAACAAAGCACATCCTACAATGTGTTGAATTAGTTTTACTGGAATGGATCAACCTCAACTCTCTCTCTCCATAGCTCTCCTCCAATTCTCCACTTGGAACATACTGGCAGGAAGTCACTTTGTAATCCTAGCATTTAGCAGGTAGCAATCAACCTATGCTGTAGCAGTATTTATTGAAAGAAATAATACACACATGTGCTTGATATATAAAGAATATCGGGAACTGGTTACAGTGGCTATTTCTGCGAAGATTTAGTGATGGGTTGAGTTCCCCTGCATTTGAACTCCTATGTGTATGTATTATCTATACTATATACCAAACACACTAGTTTTTATTTAAAAAAAAAAAAAGATTTATTTATTTATTTGCAAGAGAGCCCTCGAGGGCGAGTTGGGGGAGGGACAGAGGGAGAGAATCTTTCAAGGAGCCTCCAAGCTGATCGCAGAGCCCCACCAGGGGAGGGCGCCCGAGGCTGGATCCTATGACTCATGAGTTCGTGACCTGAGCCAAAACCAAGCGACAGCGCCTAGTTTTCAAAAAGAAGTCAGATTTTCTATTGTCTTGAACATTTTTGGTGAGAAATGAGTTTTTATTTTTGGTGAGAAAATGAGTTGTAGAAGATACAAAATATATAATTATATTTTTAGAATAAACTAGAAAGATTGAAAAATAAATCTTACCCATGGACATGTTTTGGTAGGGGTATGGATTGAATCAAAGGATCAAAGAGGGGGCTGGCGAGGGTAAGTTAAACACAGAGCATCCGAATTTGCCAGAGAAATACCACCCCTATCCTAGCCCACCAAGCCCGGGACCCGCCCAGTCCCCGCCCAGTCCCCTGCCCATCAGGCTAAGCCACGCCCCCAGCCTCGTCGGTCTGGCATAGGCCCCACCTCTACCCGTCCCTCTGCAGGTCCAGTCCGACCCTGTCCCAGAGCCTAACTTCTCCCTGCGGGGAAGGAAACTAGGATTTACTTTCCGAGGCTGGATGAAGAAGAGGATCAACATTTCTGTCACTCTGCCTGAAGCTCCTCTGGTCCCAACCCCGGCCACTTCCGCTCCCGGCGACCCCGCCCCAGGCCGGAAGCGGAAGTGCGCTGTGGCAGCGGAAGGCGGTGGGAGTGCAGGCTTCGCGGAGTGCTGCGGTGGGAGTGTCTCTGGGCCATCTGCAGGTGCGGCCCGGCCCATCGGGAAGGCGGGGAGGGCCTTGCGGGTGCGGGGAGGGGCCGCAGGGTCCCGGAAAGCCGCCAGTGCGGCGGCGCCTCCTCCCCGCGGTGGCATCCCAGGGAGGGTTGGGGCCAGCAATGGTCGGCTTCGCAGCCCTTACCCCTTATCCCTGGCCCGGCCCGCTGCCCTCAGGTACCCCCTGTCTGGGCAGATAGGACGGTCGCTCATCCATCGGTAGGGAAATCGCGTAGTAGAGTCCAGGTCCCGCAGCTCAGGAATGTGGTGCCACCAGCCGGCCCAGCCTTCACCCTTCCTCCCGGATTTGTAGGACCCTACCATACCTCCCTTACGCATGGAGCTGTTTATTTGTAATTCACGTTGTATGTCATAGGACGTTTCGTGTTATCTAACCCTGCAGCTGGAAGGTTAGGTCCTGAGTCTGCATGGGCCTTCTGGTTTGAGTGACTGCTCAAGTGAATTTAAAAAATGGAATGCACCCTCTATCAAGGGATGAGTTAGATGAAAAGAGGTTTGTTGTTTGTTTTTTGGTGACTGACAATTTGTAGTTCCTTAGCTTAGGGCCTGTTAACTTAGATTTTGTTTGATTCTTACTTTCCTTTCTCTTTATTCCTTTCTTTCATTTAAAAGAGCTTTTAATTTGTGAGCGCCAGTGTTTTTCACTGTGAGATGAGGGTATTTATTTTTTTTTAAGATTTTATTTATTTATTTGACAGAGAGAGATCACAAGTAGGCAGAGAGGCAGGCAGAGAGAGAGAGAGGAGGAAGCAGACTCCCTGCCAGGCAGAGAGCCGGGTGGGGACTCAACTCCAGGACCCTGAGATTATGACCCAAGCAGAAGGCAGAGGCTCAACCCATTGAGCCACCCAGGCGCCCGAGATGAGGGTATCTTAAGAAAAGCTATTTCCTAGTTACCTCACAAGTCTTACCATCAAGGAAAAAGAAGATTATTCAGTTCTTTTCAGGGCCGTTTCCGCCCTGATTATCCCAAGCCTGTGAGTGAATCACCATGAGGCTTAGAAAACATATGGGACTCCGGGGAAAAAAGATGACATTGCTTTGTTAGTGCTGGGAATTGAAATTGAGTTGGCTGTAAATGAAGTGTCTTTTTTTTAAATAATAGGGTTAAAACTAATGTTTGAGAAATGAGGAAAAAAAATTAATTCTGGAAGAAAAGTAGACTTTAGATTTCAAGTAAGGTATTTATTGTTAAAAAGAGCACAAGTTCTGCCTTGCCTTTTTAGAAAGACTTAACAGTGTTTCTTAAAGACATCTGAAAACTAGTGTTGATTTATGTTGCATGAAGAGGCATTTTAAATCATTTTTGTATTTGATTTTGTGGTGTTACATTAGTGTCTGTGTGTATGTGCAGGTGCGTGCCTCGGGCTGGTAATACTGAATTACTCTTGGGGAGTGTTGATTGTTTGGCACATTTCCATTGGGGACGCCCTCTGTGAACTGGGCCTTGTACAGGGGGAAACAATGTGATTGAAACAGATACCATACTTGCCTTTGTGGAGGTTTTATTCTGCCTTAAATTAATCATGACCAGGGTGATATGGAAACATGGAACAGGAGAACTTGGAGAGGAGGTCAGGAAAAACCCTTACAAGGGACAAATGTTTGAATCTCCCAAATGAGCTGCATATAGCTAGACAAGGGGTTGGGCTGTGGACTAGGAGTAGGGAGGAGATTTGAGAGAAAATTCCAGATGCGCAGCCTCTCAGGCAGGACAAGGCCTGATGTGTTCCAGGAGTTGAGAGAAGAGGGACAGCTAAAGTAGAGAAAACAAAGTGTGGAAAGGATGAGCCAGGTTGGAGAGGCAGGCAGGGCCCTGAATGCCCGGGTAAACTTTGGACCTTGTTCTGAGGCCATTGGGAAACCTTCAGTTTTTAAAAATTTTTATGTATGTATGTAGGCTCCACGCCCAGGGTGAGGCCCAACGCAGGGGTTGAACTCACAACCCTGAGATCAAGACCTGAACTGAGATCCAGAGTTGGATGCTTAACCGACTGAGCACGTAGGCGCCCCGCCACTGAATTAGTTTTAAGTAGGAGAGTAACAGAGTGTTTGTGATTTAGACAAAACACTATGCTGGGTTGAGTGTGGAGTTTAGGATGGACAAGAATTTGAGAGTTCATATATGTTAGTACTGGGAATTGAAATTGAGTTGGCCGTAAATGGGGTGTCTGGAGAGTCCATATATGAGCTAGAGTCAATTCGGGTCTCATGCTGGTATTTGGGGCCTAATGATGATTGCAGAATTGGCAAAGTTGGCGTGTTTGAGAGGCCATGCAGGAGGTGCAGTTGAGAGAACTTGGTTGCTGTATTCTCTGTTATATGTTACAGAGCAGGGTTTGGCAAACTGCCAAATCTGACCCATTGCTGGTTTCCATAAAAACTGTTTTATTGGGACACACTTGTTTACGTGTTGTCTGTGGCTGTTTTTGTGCTACAACCACAGTTAAATTGTTGGCTTAGAGGCCATTTGGCCCACAAATCCCAAGATATTAACTCTCTGGCCTTTTAAAGAAAAAGTTTGCCAGCCCCTGATATATAAGGTACTTAGTACGCATCAAGCGCTGTGCTAGTGGCAGGATTAGGAGTCCTGAAAAATGTGGACACAGGTCTACTTTGGGAATGTACATTATAGTTGGAGAGGCAAAATCACCTCAACAAATAAATTAAAAATCACAACTTGATAAGAGGCAGTGGAGGAAAAGTTGAGGCTATTAGAGAGAGGTATTTTGAGAGAATATAAGAGGGGAAATAATCCTTTTATTAGATGAGAGGAACCACTAGAAATGATCGGGGGGTGTAGTCTGGCAGGTGACTCTGGGCCCAGTATTTTGCTTATTGGGAAAGATTCCATGTTAGGGTTTTCACTGGGCTGCCTTGCTGGAGGCCCACAGAAGTAGAATTACCTGAGCCAAACCCCTGTGCGGGGATCTGCTTCCACCCTCACCTCCCCACCCCCCACATTTTTTTTTTTTTTTTTTACCTTGGTCTCTTTTATTGCAGGGAGGATGCCTAATGAGACCTTAAATCCTGGCGCTGGTGTCATGGTGAGGGGACTGGAGGAGTTGGAATGGTTGGGGGAGGAGAGCATGATCTGATGGTCTCTTTTAGTGCCCAACCTTATGGAACTGGCTTGGGAGGAGGGTCCCCACAGTGACCCCGGGGCTCTGTGCCTAATTTCGGAGTCTGACTGCAGAGGGGGGCTCATTTAAACTTGGCAGAAGCAGAATTCCACACCCAGGCCATCCCTCGTGAGGCCTCCCAAAACACACGTATCTGTATAAATTTAAATTAATTAAAATTCAGTAAAATTAAAAACCCAAATTCTTAGTTGCCTGAGCCACATTTCTCAAGTGCTCAATAGCTACACGTGCTGGTGGCTGCCTTTTTGGAAATCACAGACATAGAACATTCCCGTCATCACAGAGTGCTCTGTCAGACCATGCTGCACTATAGGATTCTGAAAAGACCGTTAAGTTTCTAGGATGCAGTGGAAGCCCTATTTTCACAGACATAAAAGATTACAAAACGCTTTAGTCTTGGGAGGGGATCTAGGGGTTTCATGAAAATTAAGTGATCAATGCCAGACTTTTGGTGCCCTAAATAGTGTAGGGAAAACTCTCCAGAGCCCAGAATTAGGCGCTGGCAGTCACTGGTGGTGTGAAGTAACAAAGAGAGCCAAAGCTTACACTCTCAGATTTGTCCAAGTATTAAAAGAAAGGAAATGCTGTCTGCTCAGTTGGCCACATCTGATCCCTGTCGCTGCCCCCGCTGTTGATACAGCACACCACCAGCCCTAGAGATGGGCAAAGAAATGGGCATGGCTGTGTGCCAATAAAACTTTATTTATAGAAACAGGAGGCAGGTCAGGTTTGCTGAGCTCTGCTGTGGCAGAGCTGAACGTGCTGAATGTGTTCCCTTCCCCAGTGATGACCAGTTGTCCTTCAGGTGGTCCTTGCTGAGCTAGAATATATGCGTGTTGTTTTAGGAGTCAGTCCCCTTCGAGGATGTGGCGGCGGGGCTCATCCAGGAGTGGGCATTGCTGGACGGGGCACGGAGGAACCTGTGCCGATACGTGATCCTGGACAAGTGTGGGACCCTGGCCCCCAGGGGTAAGGCTAGCATCAGGCTGGTCCTTCTCCCAGGCAGGTGTCTGATGCCTTTTAAGGGCCAGCTGCATGCCCTAGGAAGATGCCGCAGGAAAACAGCTCCACCTGTATTCTTCCAAATGCATGGGTCTCACCGAACTTGGCCTTGGGCTTCAGGGCTTCATTCCAGAGGGGCACAGGAGAGGGCGTTTGTGGTGCGGTGTGGGCCCTTGTGGAAGAGCTTCAGTGAGTTCATTGGAAATTGGGTGTGATCACTTTGCTACCCCTGGCACTGGCTCAGTGCCAGGAGCTGAAGCCCATGCAGAAGTGGCAAGCCCACTGTGAACCCTCCCTACTTCCCTCAGCATGTGTGTTTTTATCCAGCAGTGGGGATTCCACCATGCAAACCCAGTCTGGGCTCCCGGGTGTGGCCAGAGGAAGAGCTGAGGGCCCCACGGGTGTGGGTGTGTGTGTGTGGGGGGTGCCCACTGGATGGAGGGGGTGGTGTGCTGGGAAGGGTCAGTCTGAGAGCATTTCAGAGGCCCTTTATTGCAAGGGGAAATGAGACTCTTTGGGGCAGGGTTTCTCGAGTGAGTTCCTATGGTAGTTTTTCTCTTCTGCTAGCCTTTTCCTACTTCTCTTTGGTCTCAGAAATGATCTGTTCAAATGTCTCTCTTTGTTTTAACTGAGATGTTCACATACCATAGAATCCACCCTTTCAGGATGTACAACTCACTGGTTTTCAGTATATTCACAGAGCTGTGCCGTCTTCACCAGTCTCTCCTCCCCTCCCCCTCCCATCTGCTTTCTGTGTGCACGGATTTGCCTTTTCTGGGCATTTTGTATAAAGAGAGTCATAGAACATGTGGCCTTTGGTGTCTGTCTTCTTTTGTTAGTGTGATGTTGTCAAGTTTCACCCACATTGTAGTGTGTGTCGGAGCTTTGTTCCTTTTTAGGGCTGAGTCGTGTTCCTTGTGTGGGTACACCACGTTTTGTTTGTCCATTTGCCTGTGGACGGACATTGGGTTTGCTTCTACTTTTTGACTCTTGTGAATAGTGCTGTGAACATTCGTGTACCAGATTTTATGTGGATGTGTTTTCAGTTCTCTTGGGTTGATACTTAGGAGTGGAGTTGCTGGGTCGTTTACTGAGTTTTTTGGGGAACCATCAAAGTGCTTTCTCAGGTGCACACACCATTTTACGTTCCCACTGCTGGTGGCCGAGGGTTCTGATGGCTCCACATCATACCCACACTTGCTGTCTTATTCCTCGTGGAGGGGAACATTTCTGTGTATATGGCCTAATTGCCTCTTACTTGTTTCTCTGATAAGGCTGTCCTTCTGGTGACATCTGTCTCAGTCCCAGGAGGACAGAGTTTCTCATCCCCACCCCCTGCTCCTGTCACTGTCACATTCCACACACAGCTGTACTCTTCAGTGTCTCCCTTTGCTCCCTGATGCCTTCTTCCCTTTTGGTACCAGGCCAAGTTTAGGGTCAATATTTAAAAAACAATATTTTAAAAACAATAAATAAATACTTAAATATTTATTTTGGTCAATTTTGTACCACTCTTTCTGAAAGACCTTAATTTTTTCTTTTTTTTTTTTCTAATTCATTTTAGACTGGGTGTCTCAATTTAAATCCAAAGCATTGACTCCTGTGCAGGATATTTTGGAGGAAAATTCGTCCCAGGATATGCAAATGGTAAGATTCATGGGGGATTATCCTTGTTCCCTGTCTTGGGAGAAATTGAGGAATTTGTGAGTTGGAAATGCACACCAGAGTCAGGAAGACATTTGGGGGCATTTTCAAGGACATGCCCACATGGTCTGAAGGGAGTGGCCACGACTCATGAATTTGGGCAAACCCTGTTGTCACTCAAGACCCTTTCTCTTCGAATCCCGAGTAAATATTGCCATCAGTGTGAGTCAGACATTGATTGTGTGCAGTATGGTTTACTCCTCAACAGTCATGGGAAACTCCTGCGTTTTGGAGAAGCCCCATGGAAATCATGAATGGGAGAAAGCCCGCAACGTCCTTGAGCCCTCAACCCGTCTAAGCAAGGTGTACTTCTGAAAGTGCTAGAAACCTGCCTTGACGGAGAGGAGAGCAGCCCAGGGCACTCTGCGGGTGTTGGTGGGGTTTTTGTCGTCACTCACCCCTGGCCAGGAGCAAACTGGGCCTGGAGAGATGATTCAGCCACATCCAGAATGGCTTCAGGAGGAACTCTAACCTAGACCTGATGAGAGAACCATGGGAGAGAGGGTCGCCCTGACTATAAGGGACGTGGGAGAGCTGTTGCAGACCCCTTCCCACTGAGGAGAGAAGTCAAGATCCTGCACCTGAAATGAACCCTTGTCACAGCGTGGCAGAGCCTTCAGAGCCAGGTGGCGTGTTCCAGCGCACGAGGGAACAGATTGAGCCCCGCTACCCCCACCTTGGCACTGAGTTCCCGCTCCCCCTACTGTAGGAATTTCCAAGGTTTAGGTTCCAGTTCTTGGGGATTTCCAAGATGAGGGTTAGGGTTTGGATAGAGGGACATACAGAGCCCAGTTTCACTGCCAGGCTGGGCCTGTTTGTCCCAGAGCCACTGAGATCTCTGGGTCCCTCAGTCTGTCCCCCTCCACCCCTGTCATGGATGGTGTCCGTCTCAGGGTGTCAGAGATGCCAGCCCTGTGGATGGGGTGGCAGGGCCTGGATGGTAGAGACCTGCTTCATTGCTTTGCTCTGAGCGTGCAGAACCTTAACCCTGCACAGGCTGGTGTGGGCTACAAGGTAGCTGAAGCCCTCACCCCTGCATGGCTCTCGTCAGACCCCAGGGCAGCTGAGACACTCCTCACTGTCCATGTCCTCCTCACCGTTGGTTCACATTTTTGTTTAGGTGGAGATTGTCCTCCAGTAGCTGCTTGGGAAAGGGCTTGTTGCTTTGGAGGCCCTGAGGTCTGAAAATACCTCATTGGAGCTGCAGGGGCCTCATCTGACAGGCTCGTTGCCGTAACCCCATGCAGAGCATTCTGTGTGTCATTACAGAGCCCTCAATTAATGCTTGTTTGTGAAGGCGCGAACGCAGGCACTCCAGGCCCTCACCGCCCCCCGTGTCTTGATTAGCAGATGGACCCTGTGAGGGAGGAGAACTCACAAGGCACGGCTGTCCTCTCCAGTTTCTGTGGGCTCTTTCCCCTCAGTATGGGATTCCAGCACCTTCCACAGAGTTCCACTCCCAGCTCAGCAGTGCGCGCTGAGTGTGGGAGAGGAGGGGCTTCTGCTGCATCTGAGCCTCAGGAAACAAGCGGTCACAGAATGTTTTGAACGGGCAGAGGAGGTCCACCCGGACACGCATGTGGAGAAACTGAGTGGTTCATCCATGAAGACACACAGCCCGTAAGTGGTACAGCCACATTTGGAGCTGGGAGTCAAATCCAGGCGTAATTGCAGAGATTGCTGTCCTAGCAGCTGGGGTCTGCTGGCTGGGAATCCTACCACCTGCCAGGTGGTTGAAAGTGCTGGTGGTTCAGCTGGCCCTTCCCGGCATCGTTGGGCCTCGTCGCAACGACTGAGGCCCCCATGGCAGCTCTGAGGCCTCCCTGTCACGTGAGAATAAGGCCTTGTGGCCTCCTCCTCAAGGCCAGCTAGGCCAGGGGAGGGCAGGCACATAGAGGGCTGGAGACTGCTCCCAGAAAAACCCTGAAACAGGCTGAGGAAGCGGTCTCCAGGCTCAGCCCTTCTACTCTCCCAGCCGCCCCCCCCATCCTCCGCCCCCATGCCGTGTCCCCTCCACGCTGCTTCAGGGCAGGGGGGATATTGGCTTGCGTGAGTGTTGGATAAGGACAGGGTTCAGAGGATGGGCTCTGGATGGCCGGGCAGGTGTAAACAGCTCTGGGCGAGAGTTTGGTCCTGTGATGGATGCCTGCCAAATAGACAAGCACAGACTCTAAGAAAACACAGAACAACATTTATATTCAGAACCTAGGGCTTTTAGCCTTTCTTCAGCGAAGCACTTTGCAGTGCCTCTGAGGGCCTGTGGCCTAAGCCCCTAGCTGGACCCCCAGAACCAGAAAGGGCCTAAGCCCCTAGCTGGACCCCCACAACCAGAAAGGGCCTAAGCCCCTAGCTGGACCCCCAGAACCAGAAAGGGCCGGGTTCACCTCTGCGTCTGTGGCGTATTCAGTCCTTGAGACCCTCGGTGGCTGGTGCCCGCAGTGCAGTAGGGGAGTCACCAGGCCTGAAGCTGCCCGTCCTGAATGTCTGCCTTCTGACGGCACTACCCCAAAACTGAGGGTCCCTCAGGCCCAGAGCAGCTTCATTGCCACCTCTGTCCTGCTCAGTCCCCTCTGTGCCTTCTCCTGGGGGCCGGGCTAGACCTGAGGATGCAGATTAGGCCCACAATTGGAGACAGGGGGACATCTTTGATTCCAGAGGACTGTCTGCCTTTCTGGGTGTCACCTTGGTCTTCTGGATGTACAGTAAACCTGGGAGGATGTTTGCTGTGAGGGCCCAGCCCCAGCCAGGAAGGCCTACAGTTCAGCATTTCTGCCTATCACCCACACTGAGGGACCTGCCCCCCCCCCCCAAGTCCTTTGAGCTTCCCCCCCAAGATATAACTTATCTCTGACTGCTCCTGCTGTCCCCAGTGCCACCACCCTCCCCACAGCCACTGATAGTTCTCAAGGGCCCCTAGAACTGCTCCCCACAGGCTCCCATTTCTGCTGGGCCCCACCCTGGATACAGAGGCTAGGGACATCCCTTAGAAATGCAGGTCCAGTCAGACACCTTCCCTGAGGGAGCATCCACCAGTGGAGGGGAGTTCAGACCCTTTCTCCCACCACAGGGCTTCCTTCTGGGAATAACTTGCTGACCGTGCTTCATGTGTGGGGGTCCACCTCCCCCCACTACCCCTCAGCCTGCTGGCCATCCGCACCCCTCTTTGCTCCAGTGTTTCCCCTGCTCCTGGAGGCTTCTCAGAGGTTGCCTCCCCAGCCCGGGTCCCCTCTCCATCTCATTTTGAGGTTGAAATTCTATCACAGTGATTAGTTTTGTACCCAGATTAATCTGGACAAACTACATTGGGTGTGTCTCAGTTTTATCAGTGTGTTGTCCTGAGCAGGGTCTACGTTGCAAATTCAGTCAGGGTGAAGAGCTGCGAGCAGACTCCATTGACTGTGTGACTCTGATCTGTCCCTGTCACTGTCTAGGGGCTGAAGGCGGCCGTGCAGATTCAGAGGGTGGCCACGCCGATGCCTGCACTAGGTGTCCCTGAGCTGGGGATGGCCGGGGATTCTGGTGAGTGAGCGCCAGGTGGAATTGGTGGCCTGGGGGTCTGGGAACTTGCATCCCCCCCTTCCTTTCCTCCGACCGCAGGCATTTCCCACCAGAAGGAAAGAATACATAGTAAAGTCACATCACCATTCTTTATGCATTCAAGGGGAAATGTGCTTTCTTAGGATTGTGGGCTGGGAATCTTTTTGGATTTTTTGTTTTGTTCTTTGGTCTTTCTGTTAAGAAGGAGCAGACCCCCTTCACCTGTGGCCGAGTCCACGCCTCTTTTTGGGTAAGGTTAAAGTCTCCACAGTTATGTTGATGCTGAAAATGACAGTTGAATTTACTGTAAGTGGCGTGTTTTAACTGCGCTTATAAAGAATTTAAATGGATATGTTTTAACTGAGTTTATAAAGAATGAGGTTAAAACAAACCACATGTCCTGAGAAGTGGGGGGAAAAATTAATTCCAGAGGACAAATAACCCCTTTTAGCTATAATTGCAGGGCATTTGTTTCCTTCCATCTTGCCTTCTAGTGAGAATAATAAACTTTGTTTCTGAACAGTATCATCCAGTCTTGCATTTGGAATCTCTTATATCATCACCAGGAAGTAATTCTTAGATTATGTAATGTACTGCTCTTCTGTGTATTTTTGGTAAGCTTTCTGGGCAAGGCTTTGCCTTGAAGTACTCTTGCAGTACTTAGGGTACTGTGCTCTTGAAGTACTCTTCATAGTTGGCTCACCTGCGGTGAGGTGGGCACTGGGATACAGTCTCAAATCATTGGCCCCTTCCTGGGCGGTCAGATTTTTCAACGAAGACCAGAATACAATAGAAGCGTGCCCCATCTTGCGGACAGAGGGGAGTTTCTGGAAATTGGAAGTGAGACCATGGGTTCTCACTACAGCACTACTGAACCTTGGGACTGGATCCTTGTCTGTGGAGGGACAGGTCTGTGCTGGGTAGGGTGTTTAGCGGTGTCCTGGACCTCCACCCACCAGAGGCCTGGAGCGTCTCTTGTCTTGGTCCGCCAGGGGACGCTATCCTAACAAAGTACCACAGACTGCGTGGCTCAACCACAAAACTGGTTTTCTCATAGTTCTGGAGGCCAGAAGTCTAAGATCAAGGGATCGGCAGGGTTGGTTTTTCTCAGGGTTGTGACCTGTTCAGGTATCTCTCCTTGGCTTGTAGGTGGTTGTCTTCTTGTGTTTTCATTTTGTGTGTCTGTGTTCAGATTTTGTTTTCTTACAAGGACACCAGTCATACTGGATTAGGGCCCACCCATCTGACCTCATTTTAATAATGACCTCTTTAGAGATCTCATGTCCAAAGATGCTTGTATTCTGAGGTACTGGGTATTCATTAGGACTTCATCCTATGAGTTTTTAAAGGGACACAAGCCCATAACAGCCCCTAGTCATGACAGCTGAAAATGTCTCCAGAAGCTGTGGCTGGTCCCTACCTCCCTGTACCCCAAGATCATATGCTGAAGTCCTAACCTCCCATGTGACCATATTCGATGGAGACTGAGCCTTTAAGAAAGTGGCTAAGGTTGCATGAGGTCATAAGGATGGAGTCCCAATACCACAGAACGGGTGTCCTTACAAGAAGGAGAGACACCAGAGCTCTCTCTAGGAAAACTGCTCTCACTAGCCCAACCACATTGGCTTCCTGCTTTCAGACTGCCAGCCTCCAGAACTGTGAGGAAGTAAATTCCTACTGTTTAAGCAGCCCTGTCTCTGGGATTTTGTTATACGCAGAGCTGACCGAGATACTTGTGAAGGGAGCAGAGGGAAGGGGAGAGTGGTGTGAGCTGACTGGAGAAGGTTGGGCTCCCGATCATTGAGGGCCTGGAAGCGTGGGAGGAGATCCTGGCCATGTGCTCAGGCTGCCAGGAGCTAGGGATGTGTTTGGGTGAGAGGTGCCACACTAAAACAGGTGCGGTTTTAGCAGAACTCTCCAGCACCTGGGAGGTGGCAGGGCCTCCGGGAGGATCCAAGTGGTGGGTGGAGGCCTTGAGTAATGGGGAGGTAATGGCCTAGACCAGTGGTGAGTGCGGAGTGGGTGTGGCGGGGTCCTGGAGACCACTCCTGGTTGTGGCCATTCGCTAGGACCCCCCCTTGGCCCACAGTTGTACTCGTGGTGGTTTATCACAGTGAAGGGGCACAGAACTGGAGTCTTAACTGAAGTCTGGGGGAGTCCAAGAACGAGCTTCTGGAAGCCTCTGCCAGTGGAGTCACACGGGACATGCTTAATACCCCCAGCAACAAGCTGTGACAACACATGTGAGGTGATGTCTACCAGGGAAGCTCAGTAGAGACTCGGTGCCCAGGTTTTTCACTCGGGGCTGGTCGTGTTGGCACCCTCTGCCCAGCATGAACCTGACTCCTGTTGGCAGGTGCCAGACTCCTGGAAGGGAAGCAGGCATTCAGCACAAACCAGTGTTTGTAGAAACAGTTTAAGCAGAGTGAGCCCCTCTTACCAGTTAGGGTAGGGGAACCCTCTGTAGATCCATGTTCCCAAGGGCCAGCAGTCAGTCCTGTTGTGTTAATTCTTGTCTACACTGTGGGGAATTGGGTAAGACACACGCAGGAGGTTGAGTTGAGATAACTTGCTGAGTCCTGTATGCTTTCCTTTGCCAGACAATCCAGAGCATTCATGTGCCAAGCACAGTGTGGGGAGGGGGTGTAAAAGGAAAGGGAACCCAGGCTTGTTCTTCCAAAGCTTCCAATCCCATGAGGGTGGCAGAAAATACGTACCTAGGGAAGCCAAAAACCATGTGGTTATAGATAGATAGAGGCTGTGAGGAAAAGGGGAGGGTCCTTCTAGAGGAAAGAAGGACACCGGGGAGGGGAGGCACTTTGAGGGAGTGACCTTTTAGTGGATTCAAAAAAGAAAGGCCTGATGTGGCATCAGCCATGGTGGGGATGGGGGCAGGAGGAAAGGGAGTGGGGTGGGTGGGGGTGCGGGGGGAGATGAGTGCTCCCTGTCGAGATACCATCACTGAGGTTTTTTATTTGTTTGTTTGTTTTTGTTTTTGTTTTTGATTAATTGTTGGGGTCTTTGGAGTGTCAGGGGTGAGATTTCCCATCTGAGGCAGGGATGTTCTTCCTAAGATTAGGGATGCTGGAAGGAGAACAGCCTTTGAGAATAAGGTGTTGAGCACATTTTTGGTGGTGGGGGGCATGAGACAACAGAAATTCATATCTCACATTTCTGGAGGCCACAAGTTTCCAGTCAGGGTGTTGGCAGGGCCATGCTTCCTTTGAAGCTTGTGGGGAGGCTCCTTCCTGGCAATCCCTGGTGTTCTTGGCTTGTAGCTACATCACTCTGGTCTTTGCCTGCGTCATCACATGGCCCTCTCCCCTCACGTGTCCCTGCTTCTGTCTTTTCTCCTCTTCTTAGGACACCAGTCATATTGGGTTTGGGGCCCACTCCTATCCACTGTGACTTCATCTTAACCAATCACATCTGCAAAGACCCTGTTTCCAAATAAGTTCACATTTTGAGGTAGTGGGGGGTTACAACTTTATAATTTTGGAGGGACACAATTCAACCAATAATGGTCTGCCCTCTGGTCCCTCTCCCCTCAAATTCATGTCCTCCCCATATACAAAATACAGTCAGACAATCTTGACAACCCCAGAGTTATTACCCATTCCAGCATCAACACTAAGTCCCAAATCTCATGAACTCAAGAAGTCCCCAAGTCTGTATGAATTATCTAAATCAGGCACGGGAAGACTTGGGGTGTGGGCTCTACCATGTGCAAAATTCCTCTTTACCTGTGAACCTGTGAAATGAGAAAACAAGTCCTCTGTTTCCAAAAGACATTGGTGGGACACACACAAGGTACATGCTTCCTCTCCCAAAGGGAGAGAAAAAAGGGGTTATGGGTCCCAAGCAATCTCGAAACCCAGCAGGGCAAGTTGAAGGCCTGGTAGCAGTCCTCTGTGATGGCAGCAGCCCTTCCCCCCATCTCACTGTGGGTGTAAGGGGAATTCCCCAGACAGATGAGTGGGGACATGAGCTGATGGTGTGCACGTGTGTCTGGAGTTCAGGGGAGAGAGTCAGCCAGGGGTTTGGGCCCAGTCAGGCTGGGTGGAAACTGATGCCCAGAGTGGGTGAGCCTGCCAAGGCAGAGGCTGAGGGAAGTGAGAAGGGTGAGGGATGGAGGAGGGTCTTGTACAGGAGTCTAAGGAAGCTCGAGGGGTAGTCACTTCAGGGTGGAGGGACTAGATCACCACCACCACTGAATACCCACCAGGGATGGGGGGGAGTCACTGGTGGTTTGAGTGAGGTGCCTGTCCTTGGAGTGGTGGTGATTGTGGGTGAGTGGGAGGTGAGGAAATGGATGATGAGTTGGGTTGCCCACAGTGGGGAACAAAAATAGTAAGTACGTAGAGGGAAAAGCAGAGTGTTTTGGCTTAAATTGTGGCCTCCCAAAAGGGCATATTGAAGTCCTAATTAACCACTGGTGCCTGTGCCTGTGACTGGGACCACACTTGGAAATAAGTATCTGCAGCTGCTGTTGAGTTAAGGTGAGGTTGGGATGGGGGCCTCTCATCCAGTGTGACTGGTGTCCTTTTAAGAAAAGAAACATGCATCTGCCTTTGGCTCAGGTTGTGATCCCAGGGTCCTGGGATCAAGTATAGCCTCAGGCTTCCTGGTCAGCAGGGAGCTTGCTTCTCCCTCTCCCTCTGCCCCTCCTCCCTGCACGCTCTCTCTCAAATAAATAAATAAATAAAAAAAATCTTAAAAAAAAAAAAAAAAGAGGGAGAAACATGCCAGGGGGAGACAGGGACACACAGGGGAGAGGACAGCCATGTGACGACAGAAGCAGAGATTGGAGGGATACAGCTGCAGGCCAGGGAGCACCCAGGATTCTGGACAGCCACCGCCAGCAGCCAGGAAGAGGCAAGGAGGGATTCTACGCAGAGCCTCAGAGTGGCGCTTGGCTGACACCTTGGTCTTGGACTTCTGGCCTCCAGAACCAAGAGAGGATATGTATCTGTGGCTTTAAGCCTCTCAGTTTGCCTACTTTGTTATAGCAGCCCCAGGAGGAGAATACGTGGGTCAGAGAGTGGACATGGTTCAGGTTTTCTTTTTTTAGTCATCTGTAATTTATTGTATTTATTTGTACGATATACATTATTTTTTAAGTCAGGATTAATTTCTAAGGGGGAGTGTCCTGTCACAGGGTGAGGTAAGGGTGCAGGAAGACAACGGATGGTGTGGGGGGGTCACTTGCTTGTCTCTAATAGGCCGAGCCAGGAGGCCCTGTGGGGATGGAGGGCTGGGGTTGATTCGAAGGCAGGAAGGGGAGATGCTGCCTTCCCACAGGCAGACTTGGGGTGCTGGCAGCTTCTCTGTCCCGTACTTACGGTTAAGTCCTGGGGTTCTGCTGGCCCTGCATAGTGGTGCGGAGGAAGGCGCCAAGCAGCTAGGGAAGAACGCTGACCCGGGGCTGAATCAAGGGGCACTGGGGGGTGCCCCAGAAACTCCAGAGTCTGTTGGTAAATTGAGACTCTGACTCCAGAAATTTGGAATACAAAAAATGTGTGTATGTGAGCCTGTTCTTCTCTGTAAGTGTATGTGCATGTGTATGTATGTTTTGTGTGTACATGTGTCTGCATGTTTACATGATGGCATGCATGTGTATGTGTGAGTGTGCACGGGTGCATAAACCTGAGTGCATGTAAGTGCATGTGTGTGTCTCATGTGAGTGTGTGCATATGTGTGTGTGCATGTGGCCACTCATGTCGGGGTGGGTAGCCTTCAGACCTGTGGGTGTGCTCACGGGGCCTCCTGGCTTCCCTCCTCTCCGAGATGTAGCTCTGCTTGCCCAGGACCCCGCCTGGCTCCAGAAGGAGAGCACAGAGGAGGAATCCAGGGCGCCGGGGGTACTGATCACCTGTCTGCCGGTAAGTAAGAAATCCCTGTTGCTCTTCTTTCTTGCTTGGGCCTTTATCCTCTTCCCTTGGCCTGGAACTTCTTCACCCCACAGGTCTGGTCTCCAGGCCTCTAGGTACTGGACCTCCTGTAATGGGTGTGTGGGTGGGTGGGGGGGCAACCCAGGCAGTGGTCTCACAGCTTCATTCAGACCTTCCCTAGCTGTGGATACCTCATTCTGCTGAGCACCAGGAGGGAAAACAGCAAGGATGTCTGCTGTCCTTGCCTCTTAGTTTTCACGGTCTCTCGGGGCAAACAGTTGTCATTTACCAAATACTTCTCTCTTGCCCGCAACATGCTCAGGTCTGCTGGACACGAGCTGGAAGGGAATAAGACTGCCATGGTTTCCTGGCTAGTTGCCAATGGCTCAGTCCTTTGATGCCACATGTCTGGATGCTGTCCTGCAGGGAGGAACAAGTAGAAGGAGGAGAGTTCTGGCTCTGGGGTCTGAGCCAAAGGGCAGATTCTGAGACCTCAGAACTCCTGGTTCTGGTGAGGTGGCCCCTGGCTGAGCTGGGATGGGTGTGTGTTTCAGGAACCCGTCACCTTTGCTGATGTGGCTGTGTTGTTTACCCCAGAGGAGTGGATGTTTCTAGACTCTGCCCAGAGAAGCCTGTACAGAGATGTGATGCTGGAGAACTATAGGAACTTGGCCTCTGTGGGTAAGGGCTGGGTTGTTGCTTCATCTACACACTCTTGCGACACCTATGCATCTCCAGAGATGTGCTGGTTTGGGAAATCAAGAGGTGAAAAAACAGATAAATCCTGCTGTCATGGTGCTTACTGTCCAGGGGTTTCCTGTGGGAATGAAGGTCTCTCTGCTGCTCTCTGTTTCTCCATGGTTAAAAGTTTCTGGGCTTTTCAAGTGTCTCTCTGAGTGAGGCCCTGGGTTTTGGGGACTAGAGAATCCCACTGTTCTTTGGGACCCAGTTTGGGGGCTTGTACTTTGGTTCCTTCGTGAAAGAGCTCTGCCATGCCCGTGAGAATGTAGGCGGGCTCATTTTGCTCTTCCCGTCTCCAGTGCCCCTAGAGACTTCAGAGTATCAACCCTGGTTAACGGCAGGCCTGGTCTGCTAACACCCTGCACCTTTCCACAGGAGCAGGAGATCAGCTAGGCAAACCCAGTATGCTTTCTCTTTCGGAGCCAGGAGAAGAGCTGTGGGCCCCTGAGAGAAGAACCTTCCCAGGAACCCGTCCAGGTGAGCAGTAGGCAGATCAGGGAGCACCAGCTGTGATCACGAGATGAGTGTTAGGTTTGGAAATGGTCAGTAAGGGAAAGGCTTCCATTGCTCTTGACAGAGCCGCTTTACTAGATTCTGCCTCCTTCCTTTTTATCCATAATGCTCTACTTTGGTTTCATAGAACGATCTGTCCTGCCTCCTCTTCACATTTATCATGTCCATGTGTATAGTTTATCATATGTGTGTTTTATATGTATATAGCATGTGTATGCTTTGTCCAGTGCCTCCCCACCTGTGTGTTCTTGCTAATACTCTCCATTTCAGTCTCAATCTTCCCAGAACTCTTTCTTAGTAACTTATCTACCATCTCCATTCCTTGTTTCTATGGTTACGTGACTCCTTACATAGTCAAATACCTTAAAATTTCCTTTACTCTTTGATACATTCCTCCTCTTTACAATTTTCTCCCATACTTAGAATCAGTATTTATATTTTATTTTTAAAGAAAGAGATGATTTATTTGTGAGAGAGAGAGTGTGCACACGAGTGGGGGTAGGCGCAGAGGGAGAGGAAGAGAGAGAAGCTCAAGCAGACTCCCCACTGAGCGAGGAGCCTGATGTGGGGCTTGATCTCATGACCCTGAGATCATGACCTGAGCCAAAATCAACAATCAGACACTTAACTGACTGAGCTACCTAGGTACCTCTAGAATCAGTATTTAAAAAAGAAAATCTGCATGTTCTCTGCTTACTTTTATGGTTGCCTTGGTCCCACAGTTTCCTTCCCTGTGTACTTAATTTTTCTATTCTTACTCATTCCAGAACCTCAGCATCAACCCCAAGATTCAATTTCTCACCCAGATATTTTTGCAGAGATTCCATCCACCGGCATGAAAAGGGTAAGGTGCCCAAGGGTTTTTCTTAGTCCTCTGTCGTAGGACAAGTCTGGGGTTGCTGTAGATTAGAAAAGCAGCACAAGAGGCCAGAGAGGGAAAGATTGAGAGAGAGGAGAGAGAGAGAGATTCAAGGCAAGTGGTGTTCACGCAGGGGAAAGCAGATTCTTGGGAGAGAGTCTATGAATGTCATGAGATGGGGAAAACCCTCCATGTTGATCAAGGCATGTGCTTCCCAGAGTTTCCATAGCAGCCATGTTTATAAATGTGAATAGACATAAAGTGTTTAAAACTTAATTTGCCTCTAACCCGGCCAAACAGGCCTCCTGAATATAATGAAAATGACAGCTCTCTGTGGCAGAGCATCCGCTTGAAGGGACTTGGGAGAAATGGTGCAGACACACTAAAGTGGTAAAAGCTTTAGCACCAGAAATGCCTTTTTCCTATGAATGTAATAGAGCCTTTGGTCTTCCTATTTTCCTCAATTGACAGGAGCAACCTCAGACTGGAGAAAAACTCTATAATTACAGTGAACTTGGGGAACCCTTTCACGGCATCAAACCGCTTTTTCAGTACCAGAGAATTCAGGCTGGAGGTGACCCCTGTGAATGCCACGAGGGTGGAAAATCCTTCTTCCAGCCTGCTCGCCTAATCGTGCCAGACAAAATCCATCGTGGGGACAAAACCTACGTGTGTAGCAAATGTGAGAAATCCTTCAGATACAGCTCTGATCTGATCAGGCATGAGAAGACTCATACCGCGGAGAAGTGCTTTGAATGTCAGGAGTGTCGGCAAGCCTTCAAGTATTCCTCAAATCTGCGGCGCCACCTGAGGACTCACACTGGAGAGAAGCCTTTCGAATGTGCTCAGTGTGGGAAAACCTTCACTAGGAACTTTAACCTAATTCTGCACCAGCGAAACCACACGGGCGAGAAGCCCTACGAATGTAAGGACTGTGGGAAAGCGTTTAATCAGCCATCCTCTCTGAGGAGCCACGTGAGGACTCATACAGGAGAGAAGCCCTTTGGGTGCAGTCAGTGCGGGAAAGCCTTCAGGGAGCACTCGTCGCTGAAGACACACCTGCGCACTCACACCAGGGAGAAGCCGTATGCGTGTAACCAGTGTGGGAAGCCCTTCCGGACGAGCACTCATCTGAACGTCCACAAAAGGATACACACTGGGGAGAAACTGTATGAGTGCGCTACCTGTGGGCAGGTCTTGAGTCGCCTCTCAACGCTCAAGAGTCACATGCGAACTCACACGGGAGAGAAGCCCTATGTGTGTCAGGAATGTGGGCGAGCCTTCAGTGAACCTTCATCCCTCAGGAAACATGCAAGGACGCACACTGGCAAGAAGCCCTACGCCTGTCAGGAATGTGGGCGAGCCTTTGGTCAGTCTTCACACCTTATTGTGCACGTGAGGACTCACACTGCAGGGAAACCCTATGAATGCAATCAGTGTGAGAAAGCCTTCAGGCACAGCTCTTCACTTACCGTGCATAAAAGAATTCATGCCGGGAGAGAGAACGTTAGGAATGGTGGCCTGGCTTTATCAGTGTCCCATCCGTATAGTGGGCCCTTTGCTGAGTGACTTCCAAGTTTTAAAAATATATGTGTTCCAGGCTATAATCATCTCTTGTAGTACTTGTTTTAGCTACATCACATGTTTTGATACATATTTTCATTTTGGTTGAAATCCGAATATTGTCTTAGTTTCTATTATCACTTATTCTTTGGCCTGTGAGTTATTTATAATTAGATTTTAAAACAACAGGACATGACTATATTTTTATTGAGGTATAATTACTTACAGTGAAATTCATAGATCTTAAGTGTATAGTTGGAGGACTCTGACAAGTGCACACATATGTATATGTAACCAATATGCCATTTAAGATATAGAACATTTCTATCCTTCTGGAAAGTTCCTGCATGTATATGGGTGGTTTTTTTTTTTATTTTAAAAATTTTTGTTGGTTTCTAATTTAATTTCATTGTGAGCAGAGAATGTGGTGTTTATGTTATTGAATGTTAGGTATCTCTTTTGTTTTTGGTGTGGCGTATCCTGTTAGTTGCCTGTCAAAATTGCCCCTTCCTCCTTACAAAAGGACTTACGTTTTTTTGTTCAGATTGGTAATGTGCACTGTTATAAAACCTCTATCTCTTGGTCCTTGCAGCTAGAGGAGCCCCCCCTCGCACCCCCCTCCCCCACCTGCCCTGCAGTCCTGGCCTTTCTAAGTATGGGAAGTTATTGGGTGTGATACCTGGGAAGGATGTTGTAAAGGAATATTTATCTAGATCCCTCCACGTCTTGCCCTTTGTACAAACAGACATGATGTCTGGCACTAGAGGAGCCATCCCATGACCATGAGGGTAAAAGCTACAGGCTAAAGAGAGTGTGGCCAGAAGTCACACCAACCTGTTTCCCTAGTTGGTGTCTTTGTGTGACTGTCCTGGCCCATTTTTCTGGACATCTTGTGATGTGAAAAAAAATGCACTTCTTACTGACACATGACATTGCTATTTTGGGGATGGGTTGGGGAGGGTAGGGATGGGTTTTTTATGGCCTAATGAAGTATCTCACTGATGCACTTAGTATAGGGTTAGTTTTTGTATATGCTTCATGGGTAATGGAAATCAACGTATTATATTCTACGTACATCCACTAGCCTGAGTATACTATTTGTGTTTCAAAATCTTCTACACATTTATACATATTGGTCAATATCTTAGTCTGTGTGGGCTGCATAACAAAAATACCATTGATCGGGTGACTTATAAATAACAGAACTTTTTTCTCATAGTTCTGGAGGCTGGAATCCAAGATCAAGATGCCGACAGATTTGCTTTCTTGTGAGGCCTGCTTCATGGTTCATAGACTGCCATCTTCTTGCCCCGTCCTCACATGGCAGAAAGAGCAGAGGAGCTCTGTGGCGTGTCTTGCAGAAGGGTGCTAATCCCATTCATGAGGGTTCCACCCTTATAACCTAATCACCTCCCGAAATCCCACCTCCTAATACCATCACAGAGTGGGAATTAAGCTTCAGAATATGAATGGGGGGGGCGCACAACATTCAGTCCATATCCGTCTTTTATCTGTGAACTGAGACAGCTATGTTAAGCTCTCCCACCATGATTAGTGAATCTTGTAATTCTGTCAGTTTTTAAATTTATATATTTTGAAGCAAATTAAATGAGATTTTTGATATTTAATGTTTCCAGCAAATTGTTCCTTTTATTCTTCTAGTGACCATCTTTCTCCCTAGTGATAAATATTCAGCCATTCATTTTCATAACAGCACATCATTGTTTGGAGCTTACTGTTAACAGATAGTAGATATTAACAATGATACTTTGAAGTAGATACTATTATTATCCCCAGTTTATAGATGGGGAAACTGAGGGCAAGCTCAAGGTGAGTTAACTAAGGTCATACAGGTGGTAAGTGATGGAGTCTGGCTCCAAAATCCAGAGGCTGTGCACAGTGCCTTACCCTGGGGGACTTTTCTTCCTTTATACCTGTTCTTAAAGTCTGTTTTTTTGTGTTGTTGTTTTTCTTTTTTCTTTTTTTTCTTTTTTCTTTATTTTTTTCTTTTGGAGAGAGGGAGAGAGGAAGAGGGAGGGACAAAAGGAGAAAGCGAGAGAGAGTCTTAAGCACACTTCTTACCCAGTGTGGAGCCTGATGCTGGGCTTGCTCTCAAAACCCTGAGATCATGGCCTGAGCTGAAATCAAGAGTCAGATGTTTAACTAACTGAGCCACCCAGAAGCCCCTGTTTTTGTGTTTTAAAATTCTAGGGGTGCTGGGGTGGCTCAGTTGGTCAAGCATCTGCCTCTGGCTCAGGTGATGATCTTTGGGTCCTGGAATCATGCCCATGTCAGGCTCCCTGCTCAGTGGGGAGTCTGCTTCTTCTTTCTCTGCCCCTCCCTCCCCCTGCTTGTGCTTTCTCTGTCAAAATCTTTAAAAAATCTAACAAGTATAACTTGTGTAAAAGTTCATAAATCCTGGTGCACACATTGGTGAATTTTATATATGTCTACGCCACCATATCAAGATATTAAATATTTTATCTCCCCAGAAGTTTCCCTTGGGCCCTACCCTGGCCAATAAGCCCCATCCAGAGGTAATAAGCATTCTGATTTCTGTCACCATAGATTTGTTTTTCCTGTTCATAGAGATGGAACCACACGCACTGCCCACTTGTGGCTGGTTTTTCATTTAATATAGAGTCTGAAATTTATCTTTGTCACATTTTCAGTAGTTTATTTTCCTTAAAAACTGCTGGGCAATACTCCATTGTCTGAATATCCCACAGCCAAGATATTCCAATCTGTTTATGGATATTTGGGTTCTTTCCACATTTTGCTGTTAGAAATAAAGCTGCTGTGAATATTCTTGGACAAGTCTTACTGTGAACAAATGTTCTCCTTTCTCTTAGGTGTCAGCCTGGAGCAGAATCGCTGGGTCATTAGGTAGGCAGACTGTGAGCTGTGGTATATACTGCCAACAGTTTTCCAAAGTGGTTGAAACAATTTATACATCCATCAATGCATGAAAGTTTGGTTTGCTTTACATCCTGATAATGTATGCTACTGTTAGTTTAATTAAAATACATTTTTAAATGTTTAAATTGAATCAATTGACATTTGGGATATTACCAGGTTCAGAGAAAGAGTTTAGTGATTCATCAGTTGCATACAACACCCCGTGCTCATTACTTCAAGTGCCCTCCTTAATGACCATCACCCAGTTACCCCACCCCCCACCTCTCCTCTCCCCTCTAGCAACCCCCAGTTTGTTTCCTATAGATACAAATCTCTTATGGTTTGTCTCCCTCTCTGATTTTGTCTTATTTTTGTCTCCCTTACCTTATGATCCTCTGTTTTGTTTCTAAGTTCCACATATGAGTGAAATCATATAATTATCTTTCTCTGATTGACTTTTATTTCCCTTAGCATAATACCCTCTATCTACCTCATTGCAAATAGCAAGATTTCATTTTTTGATAGCTGGGTAATATTCTGTTACACACACACACACACACACACACCCACCCACCCACACACACCATCTTCTTTTTTTTATTTCTTATAATTTTTATTTATTTATTTATTTATTTATTTATTTTTTCAGCGTAACAGTATTCATTGTTTTTGCCCCACACCCAGTGCTCCATGCAATCCGTGCCCTCTCCAATACCCAGTTCCCCCAACCTCCCAGCCCCCGCCCCTTCAAAAGCCTCAGATTGTTTTTCAGAGTCCATAGTCTCTCATGGTTCACCTCCCCTTCCAATTTCCCTCAACTCTCTTCTCCTCTCTAACTCCCCTTGTCCTCCATGCTATTTGTTATGCTCCACAAATACGTGAAACCATATGATAATTGACTCTCTCTGCTTGACTTATTTCACTCAGCATAACTCTTCCAGTCTCGTCCATGTTGCTACAAAAGTTGGGGATTCATCCTTTCTGATGGAGGCATAATACTCCATAGTGTATATGGACCACATCTTCCTTATCCATTCGTCTGTTGAAGGGCATCTTGGTTCTTTCCACAATTTGGCAACCGTGGCCATTGCTGCTATAAACATTGGGGTACAGATGGCCCTTCTTTTCACTCCATCTGTATCTTTGGGGTAAATACCCAGTACACACACACCATCTTCTTTATCAATTCATCTGTCTATGGATATAAAGGCCCTTTCCATTTTTTTCACTATTGTGGGCATTGCTGCTATAAACATTGGGGTGCAGGTACCCCTTTGGATCACTGTATCCTTAGGGTAAATACCTAGTAGTGCAATTGCTGGGTCATAGGGTAGCTCTATTTTTAATTTTTGGGGAACCTCCATACTGTTTTCCAGAGTGGCTATACTAGCTTGCATTCCCACCAGCAGTCTACACTTGCATTCCCACCTTTGTCTTCAACCTTGCCAACATCTGCTGTTCCATGACTTCTTAATTTTTGCCATTCTGACTGGTGGGAGGTGGTATCTCATTGTGGTTTTGATTTGTATCTCCCTGATGCCAAGTGATGTGGAGTATTTTTTCATGTGTCTCTTGGCCATTTGATGTCTTCTTTGGAGAAATGTCTGTCCATGTCTTCTATCCATTTCTTGACTGGATTATTTGTTCTTTGGGTGTTAAGTTTGGTAAATTCTTTATGGATTTTGGGTACTAGCTCTTTATCTGATAAGATGTTTGCAAATATCTTCTCCCATTCTCTCAGTTGTCTTTTGGTTTTGTTGACTGTTTCTTTCGGGCAAAAGGCTTTTATTTTGATGAAGTCCCAATAGTTCATTTTTATTTTTTTTCCCTTGCCTTTGAAGATGTGTCTAGCAAGATGTTGCTGGGGCTGATGTCAAAGAGGTTACTGCCTGTGTTCTCTAGAATTTTGATGGGTTCCTGTCTCATATTTATATCTTTCATCCACTTTGAGTTTATTTTTGTGCATGGTGTAAGAAAATGATACAGTTTCATTCTTCTGCATGTGGCTGTCCAATTTTCCCATCATTTGTTGAGGAGACTGTCTTTTTTCCCCACTGGATTATTTCCTGCTTTGTCAAAGATTAGTTGACCATAGAGTTTAGGGTCCATCTGTGGGTTCTCTATTCTGTTCGATGGATCTATGTGTCTATTTTCTTGACAGTATCATGCTGTCTTGATGACCACAGCTTTGTGATACAACTTGACTTCCAAAATTGTGATGCCTCCAGCTTTTGTTTTCTTT